AGCAGGAAAAAAATCTGGACATTTCACCCTTCAGAACAGCTCCCTTAACAGGAGACAGTCTCTCTCTCACCTTCTCCAGCTCAATGAATAAAAACGAAGAATTTCAGGCAATGTCAAACAGGCTCTCCTTTAGCAGGGCACTTCAGAGAGCATTTCAGCTTAATGGTCAGGGATGTCTGAGGAAGCTTCCAGAATGTCTTCTTCTTGTGTTGGAGAAAAGAAACAGAGACAGATTGAGAGACACAGAGAGATAAAGATAACAACTCTCCTGCCTAGGAACTAGGATAAACACCTGGATTCTTGTCCTTGCTGTAGTGATGTTTCCATTTTTCTGCAAAGCAAAAGAGGGCGAGAAGGACAAAGAACTTTGTCCACTCATCTCCACCTTTATAATAATTTATTAGCATGGAGCTCAGTCTTGGAGACTGAGGTTGAATTTCTGTGATAAAGCATCCAACTCTCATAAACTCAATGAGTGTCTGAGCTCTGCACTATTTGATGAAAGGAGAACACAGTCAGTGTTAACTCCACTACCCAAAATCTGTCAATCCAGTTCATGGTGACTTTTAACTTCATTACAACTAAATTATCTTGGTAATGTTCAGCCAGAAACATCATATACAAATAAAATGAAGTGTGGGGAGAAAAGGACAGGCAGAGAATTTAGGGTGATTTTGGCAAATGGAAAAAATATAAATGTGTAATGCAAATTGGTTCTCCTAACGTGGCATTTGGAAACATTTACAGGCTTCACTGATGGGACTAGAAATAAAGGAAATTCAGCTTCACATGCAAAACTTTAAAACTAATTATATGATGTGCTCAAAACTGCTACACAAATAATATAAAGCAGAAAAGGGAGGTAATTAAACCTCAAAACCCTGTACAGTAATAAAAATAAATGAAAAGAGAGCTAAGTACCTGGGTCTGATTTACACCTTTTGGTTGTAAGAACTACTAAGTGTGCTCACATATCTTTGTCATTTACTATGAAGAATATCACGTGGCAATGCTGGTTGGCTGTGTCTTCTGTAGACAGATAGCAGTGTGGTCACTGCTTTAGTTTTAGGATGAAGAGAAAAGATACAGCTGTTTAGAAAATTATGCACAGCCCTCACATGAATCTTCTTTACTTTTGCTAGGGAATATTTTGTAAGAGATTTCAGAGCAGTAGAGATGTAGGGCTTGTCCAAAAACTTTTAGATCATTAAAAACCATGGCCTGTAAAGCCCAACTCATCCCACAGGCTGCAGCACCACTAACACCTCAGCACTGATCAAAGAGAATCACCTCCTTGCAGTTCCCATACTAAGCAATCAGCCTCAGAAAGGTCACAAGAATCACAAAGTGCTCTGCTCCCCAGAGTACAAGAATTACACTTAACCCAGTCACTTCAAAATGTTTCTCAAAAACAAGCTTCACATTATCTCCCAAAGGTCAGCAAATGTAGGCGATTTTGGACCAAGGATGGGCATTAAACCCCAAGGAGTCCTCACAGAAGTTTGTTTGCTCTGTAATAGAAACGAGAAGATACTTAAGAACCCAACCAAGACAAATTACCAGATCTTTATACTAACACATCTAAAATCCCAATAATTGTGGCAACAAATAGTTAAGCAACCACTTGTAGCTGTCTTTTCAAGATTTACATCTAATAAAAGCAAAGTTTTCCTGGTAAAGATCCCGACTTGCACAGCTCATCATCACTAGGAAAGGGAACCCTGAACAGCTCACTCCAGCTGCTAAATCTGTGGGAGTTGGAGATGCAAACCTCATTTGTCTTCTCTTCTGTTTTCCTCTCACTCTATCACTTTGAGCTGAACTCTATTTTTAATAGTGTCCCATAGATGACTTGCTAGACTCTTTGAGGATT